TAGTTCTTATTTTTGTTGACAAAAAATTAACTTGGAACAATTGAAAATTACTAAATGTGTACAAATTCATATTAGTTTTGTTGATTAATTTAATATTAATTATTAATATTTTATTAACAAATAATAAAAAATATATAAAATTGTTTAAAATGTGTGTATATATGAAAAAATAATAACAAAAAGCCTACCTATGTTACAGGACTAGTGAATAGAGAGAAGGGTAAGGAAGGATGTCGAAGAGAGGGAGAAAGAGAGAGATATCTCCTAATCCATATAGGTTTGAGACCAATAGCTAGTTGACACTCGAACAAAAAGTTAAATAAAGCTAACACGTTGCCTCTGTGTATTTCAACTAGTAATTAGTCGGGACTACCATCTACTAGTTTTTCGTATCTTGTCACATAAATAAAAATGTATCTATTTTAGTAGGTCGACGTATCACTACGTGTGTCGGTGTTTGGTTAGTGGGTGATACTATCATTGCTACTCGTGGCACAATAAAGTTTTTCTAGTGTACATGTACTTAATTAATGATGCGAGTTAATATATTTGTGATACTGTGATACCCCTCGATTCTAGAGTCACGGGTGATCAAGTCCGAGCACAGATCCGAAGTATATCCAACAATTAATATTTAATCGAACATAGATGACAAAATGAATTTAATAAATAAAGTTTAAGCTGGAAGAAACTAAAAGTAAAATCCTTTATAATTAAATACTTAGAATCTGATAATCCAAAACTCCATCAGTTTAACAACTCGGGAATTCATCTCTAGTGGACCCCTAATAAAAATCCCAAACTGAATGAAAGTAAAAACTGAAAATAAAATCCAAATCTAATATTTGGAAAGAAGTCCTATGTCGTCGGTAGAATGGAAGATTGTCTCTGCTCAGCACGAACAAACTCTAGACTAGAAATGTCCGATACCTGAAAAAATGATGAGTGGGTCAGGCCCACATGCAAGTTCTATACTACTACTACCCAAGCAGAGATCCGATACGCATGTACATCCTAACCAATCCAACAATAGCTAATAGTCCGTAGATAAATATATATATATAATCACACTACAGGACTCTCACTGGACTACAGGCCCGTCTCAACCTGACTAGTAGGCACCATGCGAAAGCGCACCCAAAGGTGGGCATGACTACCTAGTCCTAGCAGGGTACACATCCAACCATCATAGCCAGCTATGCATCCCAATGCATATACGCTCCCTAACCAACGACTCTGAGACTCAGGCTCATATCGTGGCATCATAAAAATATATTTAAATTCCATTCCAAACCAAAGTGTCACTCAATTATTTATTGATCTGACACAGAAGACAGGTAGGACTTAACTTTTGTAGTTAATCCATCCCTTATTCCAGAATAGGTAGGACTTAGCATTTTTAAGCTAATCCCCCTAATATGTCACCGTCCCATACCGGTGCATACAAAAACATCCATCCAAAATTGATAATATATATATGACAGCATAGCATATCAATATCAACATACCCAACCATAAGCATAACAAGAATGTTTAACTAGCATGCTTGTTCAATACATCCAGTACCTGATTCTCTAACAAATTTTAAATGCAGAGAATAAATATAACCATCCTGTAACTCACAGTAAGCATAATAACAACATTAACAGTATCTACATGCTTACTTGTAATTACTCCACTACATCCCACAAGTTGGAATAAACCATTGTTTTGGTAACCATCAACTAGTTCCTTATTAAGTATTAACTGAATTTATATTAGTTAATAGGCTTAATCCCATACCGCTGTTATATGATTTACATACCAAACTCTTAATTCAATTGCTAAATTAAAATTAAACAACTTGAATCATCCGCACAAGGCAACCATGTAAACTTTCTTAACAGTTTCATAACATCCCTTCTACTAACCTTCTATAGTATAATATGTATTTTCATGCCTTCTGAAGTTTTAGTAGAATTTAAACATCACTGAGAACCTCTAATTAAACTCTCAGTTGCCCCTGAAACCCATTAACCCAAGCACAGTAGCTAGCAGTCTCGCAGAAAACCAAAAAAAATGGAAACCCACAAAGGAGCCGGCTCCACTTTGGGTGGAGCCACCTCCACTACCAAGTAGAGCCTGCTCCACTTTTTAATTGAGCCTGCTCTACTTGAAATAAAGCAGGCTCCTTCCCCTGTGCGTCGTTTTTCCAATTCCGGCAGTGTCCGGCTGTGTTGATCCTCCAAACCAAATTTCTTGCTGATTAAAATTAAGTCCTTGGGTGTTCAAAAGTTAATTAACTTCCTTGATTAATAATCACATTCAGTGGGAACAAGAATTAAACAAAATAATTTAAAAACGATTAACATGCACCTAAAAGAAACATGTTGTTCAACTTCTTCTCCAACTCCGGCAACCTTGTTCCTCCAACCCAAGTTTCTTGTTGATTTAAAACTAAGTCCTAGGGTATTCCAGAGTAATTTAAATTCATCATTCACTAATTGAATTCAATTGGAACAAGAGTTACACAAAACAGCTCATAAGTGGATTAAAATCCATATAAGAACACATACTGTTTCAGGTATCTAGCCCTGCGTCCCAGATTAATTTTAAGATTTCCCATTATGTTTTAGAACTATTAAAATTCTTAATCCATCAATTTACATCATTAAAATCATGAATTAAGTACAACAAAACAGTAAATCAACAACACTGTAAAACCAACAATTTAACAGATCCTAAACATATGTTTATTAAACAATGCAAGCATGCGAACCAGATCTGTTTTAATCCTTATTTCATCCTGAGATTGTGTTAGGGATGCAAAGAACACAAGTCAAAGAGGTAAAGCTAGTTATAAAACTTGCCTGTGAGACTCGGTTCAGAAATCTCAACGTCTTTCTTCTAAGTTTTCCCGGCGCCCCTTTGGTTTTCCTCCTCTCTGTTTCTTCTGTCTCCACAACGTGGTTAGGGTTCTAAACCCTTGACAGCCTTATACAGATATATTTATAGGTTTATAAGTTTACACAAAACCCTAGTTTAATTTAAACCCTAAACTAAATCCTTAGTCGGCCCATATGAAACCTAATTAATGCTTAATTATGTCGGCTACATACGTGACTTCTAAAACCAAAACCCTTAATTAATCCTACTAACATAAAACTCTATTTATAGAAAAAACCATTTATACTAAATTAAATCATTTAACAATTAATTCAATTTCAAGAAACAAAATAATTAATTCTATTTAAAGAAAACAATTACATCCAATAACTAAAACCCAATTAAATAAACAATTAAATAAAATAATCAAACAAAAACAAGTCATTTAAATAATTCATAATGAAAACAACAAATTCACAACTAAATCAATAAAACACAATTTAAATAATTAAATAAATTTCAGAATTATCCTTGTTAAATTAGGGGTACTACAGATACATTATGAAATTAATGGATGATCTACATGTGATTAGAAGTGTTATTAAGTCAGATTGATGGTTGGTGAGGACTGATTGAAGTACTCTTTTCTGAATATCACTGGGATTTCAATAAATGTATGAAGATAAGCAGAATTTTGTGTATGCATGCATGCATGCAGTGTTTATTGAGTGAATACATTTGTTCATATATATATATATATATATATATATATATATATATATATGCAGGGAGGAATATGCAGGGTTTAATATATATATATATACACACACACACACATGCATGAACTGCTAATAGATATAACTGTTGCTAGCAAACAATGTGACTATATTAGAGCATTAAACTAAATGAAAATAATTAATGTGGAAACTATAGCTTGCTTGATTTAGTTTCTTAAAACAATTTTTTGTTTTCAGTGAATTAAAGAAGAAGAAAAAGAAAATAGTTCAAAATTTGTTTCCTGACAGTTTTCAGAAAATTATTACTCTCCTACAATTAATTTATAAGTTCTCTATTGATCTTAATGTTTCTGTTGAAAACAGAGTGCAAAAGCTTAAAATTCCATGTGACTGCATGTGTAGTTTCTATTTACTCTTTTAACATTGCATATGCAACGATCCCAATAAATGTTTTAAAACTATACAAACCAAATAAAGAAATATTAATAATATTAATAATCATAACTTTAACGATATCTCTTAATCTATATAGGTTCAAACCTGCAAATATCAATTTAGAAATATACAAATAATTTAGTAAAAATTCATTATATATGTATATTTTTTTTTTTTTTTTTTTTTCAGTAAGTGGAAATTCATCAGATCATGAAAAAACTAAATGGCTGTCTAAGTAAATGATACACCAGCAATCATTTTTATTTTTATTTATAAAACAAGTGTAATTAATTGAGTCAAAAAATTGATGATCATCTCAAAGCATGCACCACAACAAAGACGGCTTATATTTGACGTGTGTGTATATATGAATGTTGCAGCAATATGGTTCAAAGTTAAAGGAAAGAAATTATTTAAAAAAAGTACTTGATTTTAGGGGAATAATTTTTAGTATTTTGAAATAAATGTTTGGAGGGCATTTTGGACCTAAATAATAATTATTGATGCATATGTAATTATTTTACTTAAATCAACTAAAGTGAAAAATGAACTTTTAAAATATAATATTTTGCTATTTAGAGCTCCTAACTCTATGTAAGTGTAGTTTTCCAATAATTTTGTTATCTTCCACTTATATCATGTCTCCTGGATGTGCAACTACATTTGTGCGCGGGTGCTTAATTGTTACACTATTTACAAGTTTTGCTTATTTATGATCAACTTTTTAATTTCTCAATCTGTTTTGAGCTTCCTTCAGATGTTTTGTTATAAAGTTGTAGTGCAAAGTATGGCTTGCTTGTAGCTATGTACATAATGTTTACCGAGTACAATATTTTCCACTTTGCCCAGGGAAAAAAATAATAATAATAATAATCAACTATTACATCGGAACCATAGGAACACCTTCAGAACCAAGGAGCATAAGAATGACAGGCAAATGACAACCTAATACAGTAACAAAACTGATGCAAGGAAGAACTAGAGATGAAAAGGAAATATAGATACATATAAAATTCCACAAGTGAGCCTTACTTCATCTGAATCTCAGAAACACGTTGATTTTCTCAAACCAACTCTTAGATTAATAAACAACGGCAAACATTTATATTAACCAACCAGCCAACCATTAATCAAAGCCTTATACATCGGGAGGAGGCGGAGGAGGAGGACGGCAAGGGCAATAAATCATCAATGGTCACGACATCCTCACTCCAGTTCTCATCCAGCGTTTCTTTTATCTCATATACGAAGCCATGAAACTTGTTCCTGTCATCATCACTGGAGTCCTCTTCTCTTGAACCCTCATACATGAAGGTAGGAATATGAGAAGCAAGCTTCAATATCTCATCATCACACTCGAAACCTTTGTTGTCTCTAACATCAAAATGCACAAGTTTTTTGCAGCCCTTCAAAATCATCACAAGATCCTCCCGTCCAAGAGATGTCTCCCTTAGATCCAAATACTTTATGTCTGGAAGTAAGGTGACTAGCTCCAATGCCTCATCTTCGTCAATGTAGCCACTTGAAATACCTAAATCAGTAAAATTCTCGCAATGAAGGCTGACTTCGGGTAGGATTGTTTGCATATAACCGGAACTTCCAAGCCTTAACATCTGCAAATTTTTCCACTTGCTTATCCAACGTGAAATGAATATAGTGTAATCCACCAGCTTAATAGGCAACGTCAAAGATTTCAAAGCAGGGCACCTGCCAACAAAAAATCACTGTGAAATAAATTCAATTTTTTTTTCAGAACTACAATTTATCATTAATTTCTTTCTAAGCACTGTAAGGACTTGGGATACATACTAACTGAACAAGGGATAATTATTTTAAATAGAATCATTCAATAAATTCCATTAAATCACTTTTTTCTCCGTAGTTCAACTTGATGCAAAGAACACTACATATCAAAAAGAGCAGAAAATCAATTGAAGTAAGGTGACAATTTCCAGGCTTAATGAGGACAGTTGGGAAACTGAGGCTCCAATTCTTTAAGGAATTAAGAAAGGAAAATGAAACTAACAAGGTTCCTTTATATTTTCTCTCAATGATACATGTCTCAATGATAAATGAGATTAGAAAATTCCTTTATATTTTCCCTCAATGTTAGAAAGTAAAAATTTGTTAAAAGACATTTAAATTTATTATTTTCATCCCTGCTCTCCCACGTCGTCTTTTCCTTCCTTTCCACAACATAAACACACATCGAAAAGAAGAATTTCCTTCACGTGTTGGTAGTTGAGTTGGCATAAAATATTTGGGGATGTGCCAAAGGTCTTGTTCAACTCGAAGAAGCATCAGGACTCAACCCTAGGCTTAGCCAATATCCATGGCAAAGGGATTCATCACATCCTCAGGAGGAGGGAGAACACCCTCCATTACCAAATGCAATTTTAGAGCACAAAATAATTAGAAGTGGCTATAAAACTTCTGGCTAAAAGTATTTTACAAAATCATACAACTGTGCAAAATTAAAAATTTAAGATGCTTATTCACGAATTACCTATATGGTTGAGATCCTATTTTATTTTTCTCTTATCTCTTTCTTGTTTCCTAGAAATAGTATTAATGCTTCATCTTTAACTTCTCATATTCCAATAACATTCGAGTATATAAAATTGGAACAGAAAACATCCTTTAAAAAAACATATATCACAATGAAGTTTGGATAACTTACCCTTCTACGAAACAATGAAATGCCCATTGCGGACAATAGTAAGGAACAACTACTGAAACGGCTAATCCACCACTACGGTTGACGGCAAACTTAATCAATCCAGATGCACTAAAGGTCTCTGATCCCAAAGAATCCACTAATCTTGATTCGAATGAGTCTGAGATTTCAGGAAAATCAAGGTGCTGCCAGCATAGAGGATTTAGAGTTGCTTTGTACCATGACTTGCATACAAAGGGAACATTAAATAGCAAGGACTCCATTCCCACTCTCCCAAGCACATTCACCAAGCAATCCATGTTTAGCTCTTCCCATTTTCGCTCTTCCATCTATATGAAGAGAAAGTAAAGGCAACAGCGAGTTTTAGGACTATAATAAAAAGGAAAAAGAAACAAATGATCAACTATTCCCACTAGCAAAATGCAAATCTTTTTCACATTGATCAATGATTGCAACTACTAATAATATAATGGCTGTTTATTCTGCGAAAAAAAGGGTATAGAATTTGAACTTCCCAATTTAAATCTTGAAAGGGGAATCCATACACAACCTTTACAAACTAGGAGGAGCTATTTACATTAGTTTTTGTTACAAAACACAAGAAACGGTAATAGTCTTTTAGAACAATTAATATCATGCAATCACTCCTTTATTTAATTCGCAGTCATCCTTGTTCAATTTTGAATAAGAAAACAAAAAGTTAATTGTTCTGTTATGAATTCGTTTAAGGAAAATTTCCACTTTATCAGTGGGAACATAATTTGTTTAAGATGATTTTGCTTTCCAAACCAATGCAAAAGTATTCTAAATAATTAGACTTTAATCATAAATACATAAATAAATAAATAAAAACAGATGAGAACCTATGCATATTCATTCTATTAATATTCAAAGTAAGGACACCACTACGAATGGGGTCGCTACAAGCTTCCGGGCTTGACAATTTAACAAAGGGGACACTTCAAGAACGAGAAAAATGTTGATAAATCGGTCAGTTTCGTGGTTTTGCTGAGAGGTTTGGAGTGCCACAGGTGAGACCCCCTTCCTATAGGAAAGTGTCTACCACACAAGATCGATTTGGAGCCGGCGCCAACAAAGTCCTTACTAGACAGTTGTGTTTGTTTTAGATGATTTTACTTTCCAAACCAATGCCAAAGTATTTTAAATAATTAGACTTTAATCATAAAATCATAAATAAATAAATAAAAACAGCTTGTGTGTTCATTATATTAGCCACGAAACTATCAAAAATTATGGTGAAAAAATAAAACAGAGAATTCAGATTCGAAAAATAGAGACAGTTATTCGGGGATGGGGAAACAATAACAAAGGATCAGTCTTTACCTTAAAAATAAATAAATAAAAACAACAAAAACAAACTTTACTTCTTTAAAATAAAAAAACACACCCACAAAAAGGCAGAACCTATGTCCAATTGGACAATTGGATAATGCATTTATATATATATATATATATATGCAAGACAAACATAAATTATAAAAATAGAACACTACACAGAAGCGAAACAAGTATCGAATGTGTTCAAAACACAAATTTGTTCACTTGGAGAAAACCCAGTTGGTACCCAAACCAATTATTACTTCAGAACTAGTTTGGTTCCCAAAATCCAGCTTATAATACAACACAAGATAAATATAGAATTGAAGACAAGGAAAATAAATAGTACAAAGCAGTTGACTTTGGCGACCAACCTCTCTGGATGCAGATGGATATCTCGCAGAAACAATCTATGAATGCAGATGGAGATCTCGCAGAAACAATTGTGTTTTAGGGCTAGTACGAGGGTGAGAAGAACTCGCTGCAAGAAGTTCCTTTAAATAGAGAGAATTCTTAACCCGTTTTGGATTTGGATTCCTTTTTGGAATTGGATTTGGATTTGGAGGTTTGAAACAAATTGGAATTTAGAATTCTGATTCCATTTTTAGAGGATCCTAGATAAATGGCTTTTAAGGGCCTAAGGTTTCCCTCCCCTTTTTTTTTTTTTTGTCAAATTTCACTAACTTCCCTTTACTCTGTACGTCTATAACGCATAGTACCCCTCTCTTAACGGCGTGATTGCGGTCAACTGCTGATGTAAGCAAATTTTTTGGTTTAAAGTTCCTAAAAATATCCTTTTTCAATTGCTGCTTTCTTCACTTTCTCTCTACTTTCTCTCAAAGCAGGCAAAGCTGCAATAGACAAGGGTGTGTTTGGATAGACATGGAGAAAATAAAAGAAATGATAGTATTAATTAGGAGGGAAAAAAATGATAATAATAATTTTAATTCATGTTTGGATAGATATGGGAGGAAAGAAAAGAAAGGATAATTATTGTTATTTGAATAAATAGAGGAGAGAAAAGAAAAGAAAGGATAGTGATCAAATTATTATCCTACCCTTTCATAACTACTTCACATATTATCCATTTCCAAAATCTCACATAAGATATTTGAAATGTTTCTTTGTGATAGTTCAATGCAATGGGTAAAAACTAAAGTAAATGGATGAAAATAAAATTAAGACATAAATGGAATAACTTTTTTTTATATATTGATTTATGAAGGGTATTTTTAGTATTAAGAATTTACAACTTACTATCCCTCCCAGTCTTCTCAAAATGGGAGAAAAAGCTTATAAGGGATAGGGAGGGCTCTTTTCTCTCCAATTAAGTTACCAAAACACACTCTTACACTATCACCTCTTTTCTTTTCTCTCCCTATCCCTCTCCAAATCAACCCTACCAAACACACCCAAAGGCTCCGGACCACCTTCCGCATCAAACCAGGTTTTATTCTTTCTCATATCATAATCTTTATTTTTTTCTCTTTCTTTCTTGTTACCCATTGATATATATATATATATAGTTTTGTCCATATCATTTTATCTATATATACATATTGCTTAGCATTTCTATTGGGTTGAGTTTCTGATTTCTCTTTGTTCATAATATGATCCATATTTTTTTCATTAATTTTCAATTAAGATTTTCTTTATTTTCTGATATTGAAAATATTTGATTTTTATTTGATAATTTGTGATTGACGTTGTGTTTTTGCTTAATGTTAATCCTATAGATACAATTTGTTTGTTTTTAAGATTCTGTTCCAAGATATTGAATTTACAAACCGGGGTTTGTCTTAAGGTGATTATGGATAACTCTTCAGACTCTGTTCCGTTTGCAAGCGCAAAAAAAAAATTGTTTTAACTAATCCTATAATCAGTTGATGAGGACCCTTTCAATTTTGTGGTAAATCTAACAAAATATTTGTGGGAGATCTCGCACAAACAATAGTGTTTTAGGGTTTAGTTTCAGGTTGAGAAGTATATACTTTTTGGAATTGGAACCGGATTGGAGTTTATGTGTCAAATAAATTGGATTTCAAAGAGAAAAAAAAAAAAAAAAAAAAAATGTTTTTATTAATAGACCTGTCAAAAAAAATTGCGGTTATAAACACTATCTTTCATAATTAAATTATTTTTAAAAAAATATTTTTATTGCTAATTTTAGATAATATCCTTTAATAAAATATTATCATATTTGATAATAGCAATTTTATTAACAAATTGTCTTTAAAAAAAATAATAAAAAAAAAAAATGAGGACATAATTGAAAAAAGAGTTACTTAAAATATGCAATTTTAAAGGATTTAAATTCTAATTTCATTCATATAGCTAAATTTGGTAACTATTAAACACGTTTTTTATAATGATTAATGATTAAACGCATCTAAACGTAATTTTTTACCCGTTTTGGATTGCTTATCTTCTACTTAAAAGTGCTTTTATTTCTGAATAGAGATTGAATATTTTAGATAACTCTTTTTTATTAGCCATTTATGTCCTTTTTTAAGTAACTCTTTTTTATTAGCCATTAATGTCCTTCTTAGTTTTTATAAAGACTTAATAAAGTTGCTACAAATAGAGACAATTGTGTTTTAGGTTTTAGTACCAGGTTTAGAAGTATACTTTTTGTTTCTAGTTTGGACCAAGGTTTCTATTTAGTGTTGCGAGTAGATATTGAATTTGGCCCCACGTTTCTATTCAGTATTACAAGTAGATATTGAATTTGGCACCAGGTTTCTATTCAGTATTACAAGTAGATGTTGAATGTGCTGTTGTTGGAATAAAAAAAGGGACAAATTTCACGAAACTATCGATATTATCAGTTTTGTTATCAAATACCTCCAACCTACCTTAGAAAACTCCCAACATTATAAAATTTGATCACATTGCCCCCAATTCTGTAGTTAAATGACAAAATTAACCTTATGATATACCAATTTATTTAAAAAAACATAAATTAGTATTTTACAAATTACATAAATAACCTTAATGAATTTTGCCCATATATATATATATTTCCATCTCCATTACATTGGCGATTATAGCGCCACCACCGGTGACCGCCGCAGCACCACCATCCCCGTAACTGCCACCACTATTCCCAACCCACAACCACTAGCTGCCAATTGAAGGCTTTTATCATTTGGTCTTTAAAACCTACCCAACCAAGCTTCTTAAAACCTAGCTTTTCCCCCTTTGGTCTTCAATTGAAGGCCTTGTGTCACAAAATTTTAGAGCCGCATCATTGCTGCCATGCTCGGAGCACGAAGTAGAATCGATTTTCAGGTGCAAAGACCAATCACAATTCATGACTTGGACAAAATTCTCAATTTTAGATAAGTTGTTCTCCTTTGTCGGTTATATTGTCGATCGGCGTCAGAATTAATTACTCGTTTGGCTCCAAGAATTAATTAAAATATTTGATAATAACAACTTAATTAACAAATTATCTTTATAAAAAGTAAAAAGAATATAATTGACTAATGAAAAAGAACTTTTGAAATGGAACATACTTTCATCCTACATCGAATCAAGACCACAACGATCTAGCAAAATAATCCAACCTCACAAAAACTGCAAATATAGAATATAATTTTTTGTCCAGTCATGACCATAAAATCAATCAACATCCGACAAATTTAAAGTAGTTTTTACATCTCTCTCTAAATCATGATTTAAAGCTTGTAGCTCTTAGACAATGGCATTGGCAGCATTTAAAGCTTGTAGAACTTAGACAATGGCATTGGCTGCGCTTGCAATCCTTGGCCACAGATCAGCACACTCCTTCCCAATTGGACCAGTAATGGCGGATCCTAAAACCAACATAAAAGCAATTGGTAATTAGTAAGATAAACTGAGAAATTGGTTTTAACAAATAAAAGAGAGAGAAAGTTAGAAAAAAAGTTCCATGAACTATATGAATGACTAAAACAAAAACCGGAACTGTAACATAACTGAAACAAAAGAGCATGACTCAACAGGCATCCGGATGGTCACCAACGTGAAACACCAGCCAATATATGAAATTGAACATGATGGATAAAAAAAAAATGTAGGGGGGAAGAGGGAACCTCGAAACAATTGAAGAGGGAACCTCGGGACAATTTAATAAACAAACAGCTTAAATATACAAATTACCATCGAGAAAACCCCCGACAAAAGTAGCGGTGTATGGGTATGCCTTATGCTTATCAATGGACCAAATGGATGAGAAAGAAATCAAATAAATTGGAAAGAATATCGTTAAGACAAGCTACAAGGGAATCCAGAAAGAAAAGTGCAAGGTTCGCCAGTAACATCATCTCCTACCCAACCTCAAGACCATCCCTGTGGTGTCCCATGGCTATCAAAAGCATATCAGGAACAATCTGTGCTTAACATTTCACCATACCTTTCATTTCTCCCTTTGGATTCACGATGACACCAGCGTTATCTGCAAAATGCAAAAATTTACTGATGAAACAACATGAAAAAATATCTTCAGTCAATGCATAAAGGGCGTTATCTGCAAAATGCAAAAATTTACTGATGAAACAACATGAAAAAATATCTTCAGTCAATGCATAAAGGGGGAAAAAATCAATTACTCGCGAACCACCAACGCAAAGCAAAATGACATTTTTGGCGAACCACCATCAAGCGATCAAAATATACAACGCAAAGCAAAATGGCATTTTTGGCCAAGAAATGATCACAATCCGTTCTATAAAACACTATTTTAAAGCTGAACAAATAATCAGTTGGAAAAATATGGTATGACAACTGCAATAGTGAACATCCTATTTAAAACTGGCTTCTTTGTTCAAGCATATTCTCCAAACAGTGTATGAATACATCAAAGAAATGCAGATAGTAAAGCAACGCACAAAAAATGGTAGCAGAACATGTAGGAATGCAAAACAGCATTTCCTATTCAATAAAGGAAAAATAAAGTAACATACACCTTTTGGAACAAATTCATATATAATTTATTTCTATAGCTCCTTGAGCAAAAAAAAAAAAACAATAAAACAAAAAACAACCAAAGAATTTACAATTAATCCGGGTAAAATGAAAGAATAGAAACATGCAGTTATTTGCCTCAGACTGTATAGCACAAACGAGTAATACCCCAATAAGACCAACAAACCAATTGTAGATCTTCAATAAAGAAGATTGAGAATAATATATGTAAGGCCCAAATGGAGCAGGTGTGAGCTTTTGAGCATCAACACACCTGTAACGATGGACAGTATCACTTTTCCAGACTAGTAACTGTATCAACCATGGAAGAAAAGGTGGATACCTGACTTAAGTCTGAGAAATTTAGCTTACTGGCAGAACTAAGAGCAATCAAGATGAAAACTAAAATTAATGAATTACAGCCATTTGGCATTTGCTGAAGCGAATTTCATTATTATTATGTTATCCTTAAAATGTTGAGGGAGAGGGAGAGATAAGAAGCATTTACACCAAAAAATTAAAAATACCCTAACTTTCATTCGCCTAAATTTCATTGGGATGACTACCATTTCTGCTATTACCCTGAAATGGTATATACTGCTACCCACTCTATCTCATCAAGTCCACACCACATTCATAAAAGAATAATTATAATTAGGTGAGAAACAGCACTCCAGTAGAAAAAAAAATCCGGCAAAGGGAAAATCAACATACAGAATCAAGAAATGGAAGATTCAATTAGAGAGCATGTATTAAGGAAGCAATTTTTGTATGTTTATGGCATACAAATTAGGAGAAATTATACTGCACCAGGGCACCCCTAAGCAGCATAATCCCCATGAGAAAGTCGAGGGTTTTTTCAATAATTAGAACCAAGAAACATGTTCCAATCTTGACCAGGGTGATAAACAAACTCACCATCTGTAAAAGGGGTAAGATTGGTAATCTCAATTTAGCTGGGTATGGGAGGTGCAGAGAAACCTTAGAATTATTCTCAGCACCACATCACCAGCAAAGCAAAATTGAAGAGGAAGTCAAATTAAAATATACAATTGATTGTAGTTTAATGCAGCTGGTTTCAGAACGCATCCTACCATCATATGCAACCCAACCCACAGGTAAAGACACTCAATTAGCAAAATAATGACAGTTTAATTATAAAGAACTTGCCATTAAAATATTGGACTTACGTGTCAAAAACATTACATGTATGCAGTGACCTCCAAAAAATACAAGAAGCTCCTCATTTGGAACATAATAATTCAGACATAAATTCACATAAGGAAAAAACAAAAACCAGTTTCAGTAAAAAAAATAAGTATCTATCTATCAAATAAATAAAACATACAAATCAAGTAGCAAAATAAATCCAAACATTCTATCAACATATAGCATATACCGATTAATGTATCTTCCATAAGTTTTAGATGGACCATTTTTACAAACAAAACTTTAAATAAATAAGACAAAATTACCATCACCGAGGAAAAAAAACGAGGCCAACAAAAACTTGTAGCAAAAAAATTATCACAATCACAATGAGGATTATAGTAATGACCTTCAAAGTACATGTAGACACCATCCTTTCGGCGCCACGGCTTGCGCTGCCTCACGATAACAGCAGGCATGACCTTCTTACGCAGATCTGGTTTACCTTTCTTCACTGTGGCCATAACCATATCTCCGACACATGCTGAAGGCAACCGGTTGAGTCTTCCCTTGATTCCCTTCACGGATATGATGTAGAGGTTCTTCGCACCTGTGTTATCGGCACAGTTCACCGTCGCCGCCACTGGTAAACCCAGTGACATGCGAAACTTGTTTCCCGCCGATCCTCCACGCCCTGCAATCAGTGAAACAACGAAAAGAGGGGGAAAAGAAATTCCAATTAACTAACTGTTTGATTTGTGAGAAACCAAAGGAAAATGCAAACTACGATGAATCTAACTTTCAGTGTGTGAGTGAATATGTGTGTAAAGAGGCGGACTTACCTCGCTTCGACATTTTCGTCTGCAGAGTGAAGGATGATTAGGGTTTAGTGTGGTATTTATAGAAGCTAACTGAATCTAGGGTTTGTGTTTGAACGAGTGGTTCATTTTTACGAAATTCCGATACACGGCCTTGTCTTTTTACGTAATACCAAGATGGGACAACGCTAGTTTTGGGCCTAAAAATTATAAGCCCGTCCGATTTAGAGGCCCAATTGATGTGGCCTTCCTTGACTCCAACCATGGATTAATAGCAAAATTAGTTAAAAAGAGACTATTAAAACTCTCTCTCTTTTTTTTTTCTTTTTGGTGTCGCCACTACCAAAGCGTTTCACATTTGTAAGGTTGATCAATAAATGGATAAAGTGTGAATAAATAAATAAAAATTCATACAATTTTTAATTTTTTTTTTTTGATAAGGATATGTTGGCGAACGATCTTGGAGCTCCCGCTGTTCTTGGAAGTCTGGCTTTGAATCTTTTATTTTTTTTGCACTTTACAAAAATCATCTCATGAAACCAATGTCGCGTTTTAAAATGTAAAGGTAGTAATGAAACCAATTTATTTATTACCATCTAAGTTTGTTTTAAGAAATAGAAATTATCCAAACACTAATTATTTCGACTAAAAAGTCATATGAAGATTACAATTTTACTTGATTCAGTTATGAATCAACATGTAATTGCACAAACATCTCCATTTATATGTTCAAAACAAATAATACAACCATAGTAAGATAACTTATTTCTCACAATTGCTAACTTGGATGGAACATAAAAAGGTAGTAAATATAAATAAAAATTAATTAATTAAATAATACCCATCAACCTACACATTACTCCAGATTGTGTAAAGACAACCTGTGGTCAATTAACTTCAAATGAAACAAGCTTTCAATTCAATTTGATCAACAAATCTCAGATGATAAAAAGTAGAAATAATCATTCCCATCAAAAGAGGTAAATATTTCCCTCAATTACCAAGACATAATCTTGTTTCTTTTTAACCTTACAGAAATCAACCAGCTTTTAACATTGTTTTGATTCATACAAGTATACCTTGTACTAACTATTCCAGAAAAACTGTACCTACGTCCAAAATATCATTTTAGCTATATGACAGTACATCCATTTTTCATTTAGCTGTAACAGTAAAATAGTAGTATGCGGAGTATCATTTTTCCCCCCACTATCTATAATCTGTATTAGTAAAGCCAAAATCAAGAGTCATTGGTTTTCAACTGAATCTAATTTGCTGGAATTAAATTCTATTGGTAAGTCATTCATCTTCATATACTTTTTCAGAGAGTTTTCCTTCCAAAATATCTCCGCAGCTTGGTTGGTCATCAGAATTCATGAGCTGAATTTGGTTCCTGTGCAATTGAATGAAGATCACAGTTTGAGGTCATATTAATTTACTTAAAAATATGTATATAATAGCTACATGATATTATAAAAAAAAAAAAAAAAAAAAAAGAAGAACCGACACCTATATGCCCATTTGAATAAGAACACTCTTTGAGTAGGAACAGCTAAATCAACAGACAAAATTGCTTGCTGTGCACCAAACTAGAGGGTGTAACGTTGCATATGCAACGCAATTAGAGAAAATTTGGCCTTAAAGTAAGCTAGTTGGCCAAAAACTTGACTCATTAAAAGTAACTGCTTTAACTAAAATGGAACCAGAAGGCTATCGAGCTATTGCAAACACTTTTGTATCGTGCCCAGTTCTGCTTAAATAACTACTATTTAAATACACAAATAAAAAAAAATAAAAATAAAAATTCAACGTAGCTTCACAATTGCTAGAGTTTCACTAATAAGCTGCATAAATTACTTCCATGTAGTTTTCTACAAAACTCACCCATAAAAGTTGTTTGATTTATGCAGGTGGTTTTATTTTATTTCCTTTATCTTCAAAACAAATTTAATAGCAGAACTTTGGAATTTGCAGCACAACACTTGCTTGCAGTCCTCACAATGTGAAATAGAACTTGGACATCACATCAAGCTTCTCAGAATTTCAAGCAGTCAGGCAATTTTTGCAACAGGAAAAAATTTATGATTCATGATATAAGAAAGATATACTAACTCTTCTGACGCTTTATGCCTCGGCAGAGTTTGCTTCCACATTGACACTGGAATGCCTTCACTGGATGACTGTGATCATTAAAGTCAATACCATAGTCCTGCAATGGATTGTATCAGAATTAGTTATAATTTATAAAAGCTTAACCAATACACATCTTTCCACAGAGGTAACACTCCAGTTTTGTAAACCTAAACATAGAGTATTCTCAAATCTCAATATTTATCTTACTTCCTTTAATGTCAAACAGATTAAAAGCTCCACCTTATTGAGCAAACTCTATACCAATAGAACCTACTTACCCAAGTTAACTCTTCAAAAGCATCCACCCTCCTCCTCGTGAAAAAAGCAAGCTGCAGAGAAAGCACAAAAAGAATCTTAGATTTGTGTCCCTAAAGACGCAATCCATAAGATATAAAAAGCGTAGAAGTTATGGAATGCTTGAAAGTTGAAAATGACTCTAGTCAAATTCCATACATGATAGTAATGATGATCCGGCGTCTCCACTTCAACTGGGATCTCAACCAAGTTGGCATCAAAGCATCTAATCCACAGAAAGTACAATTTAGGTGAAATTTTATTTCGAAAAAAAATTTAAAAAGGGAAATACTTTTTCGTTAAATTAATAAACCAGACGAGGAGAATGAAATTCAAGGCAAAGAGATAATGAGACATTGTGACACTAGTTCAAAGAAAATCAAGAAAATTAGAAAAAAATAAGTGAGAGAGAGGTCAGTTGATTTTGTGCAGATAAGCAGACTAGCGATTATCTAAAAACCAAGAATCTATTGAAGTACTGAACCAGTCAAAGTTCAATGACAATGTAATGAATCCCCATGTTCAATGACAATGTAATGAATCCCCATGACAAGGTTACCAGAAATCTAGACGCCAAAAAGAGAGCAGTAAGAGTAAACTGATTACATAACTGATTTCTTCTATTCTCTATCACATTCAGTACATGCAAAAATAACAGGAAACTATAGTAAGAACCAAAAGAAATATAAAATTCTTCAATGATCTGTAACTCTCTCTTGCAGGATCCTTTTTATTATTGAGAAGGACAAATTTTATAATAGGAAAGAATGGAAAAAGAGAATTCGCGTGGCCAACCCCATCCATATGGGATAAAGGCACGGATGATGATGATGATAAAGAAGAAGAAATGTGAACTTGGTCATTCACAGCTTTGCCAATGACCATGCATAACTATAGTAGTTTAACAGTTTTTTCTTGTCAAAACCTTTCAAATGAAAAAATAATAAAATCTTTTGTTCATGAATATCGGTCCATATTAAATCAGAACAGAATGCCACAAGTATACATAAAACAGGATTTGAATCATCAACACTTTCATCCACCATGACCATTATGTAACAAATATAAATTGAAAATAGAAAAGTAGAATTTTTAGAATAGCCCTGCTAAACTTCAGCTTTTGATCTTAGCCAAGAAGAGTCACTTTGCTGATAATATTTTTTCCCTTTCTCAAGAAATTGTAAAGGTTCAAAGTAATGAGATAAAAGGGAAAGGGGAGGGGAGGAGAGGGCGGACGGGGGGAAGAAAAAGGAAAGTTAAAGAACAGAGATTAAATAAGTTCTGAGAGCTTGCTCTCAGTGCCAACCAATTAGGTAGATTACTTTTTTATTAAAATTCTGAAAATAGGATAATTCAGCTTCCTGAACTCTTCTTCAACAGCAGTGGTAGGAGGGGAGGGGATAGGTATATTCAACATGTGTGTTTACAAGTATGTACATCCAACATCTGCTATTATAATAATGGGTAAATTACACTGACCTCCCTTGACATTTGGGCAAATATCACACAAGTGGAGCTTTTAAGATTTATTGCTTTGACCTCCCTTGAGGTTTGGGTGTATGCTCAACAACCCCCCCTCTCCATCAAAACTTGTAAAAAAAATTCATAAAATGACCAAGTTGCCCTTCCACTCATTTTTTTAATTTATTTACAAGATTTTTTTTTAAGAGAGGTTAACGGTGGTGGAGAGGAGGGAGAAAGTTATAAGAGAGATGAGATAAAATAATTGATTTTTTTAGATTTTAGAATATATTTTGTATTATAAAAATATATTACATAGTAGGGTATAATTGACTTTTTATAGTCTTAAAGGAGGTCAGAGTAATAAACCTCAAACGCTCCACCCATGTGAGATTTGCCCAAACCTCAGGGTAGGCAAGTGTGATTTACCCTATAATAAATGCCCAAATTTGGACAGAATTTAATAAATTTTCCAACAATATATAGTAAGCCGCTCACATAGATAACATATTAATGTTTATTTGACTAGATTTTTTACTCATATGAAAAGAGCTCGGCTTATTAAAAGATGAAAGCACTTTCATCTCTAACCTTCACGCAGTCTAAATTAGCTTCATGATTCTAAAGAGAACTTGTCAAGAGACCAAAAATCATTCCAGTATAGGACCCAACATCTATTTGACAAAGTCGTAATTGTCTCAAATTGAAACTAAATGCCAAGCATTCCTGAAACCATAAAATTTTGTAAGATATAAATTTGCCATATCACAGAAGTACCTGTGATTGATAAATCTTGCAACATTTCCATATGATGTTGCATCCAAACATAGGGCCTCTTCGTCCTTTAAGACACCCTCTGAACCCCAATCCGCATCCAGTAGCACAGGATACGTGTGCTTGTCATTACTGCTACCATGCACATTACGCTCATATAGCTCCATGTTGGTCACTATTTCTCCCACATATTCACAGATGAAAGCACCTTTCGGTAAGTCTTCAAGTGTCCTAAGACCCCATCCCTTTCTTTCAGGGGTCATAAACACCTGAAAATTTTAGGGTGCAGATAAGTTACCTCCAGCAAAACAAACTATCTCTATTCTAAAGACAGAAGAACTTCAAAGAATTCGTCATTGATCTTGCACCAGTTTACAATTTAAATCATGTAAAGAGATGTGGTAGCTAGGTTGCCTCTCAAAAATACATTATAGAAATATAAGGAACAGAGGCTGACCTGCATACTCACTGTTATGCCTCGCTGTACAACTCGATTTCCACACTTAATACTGCATCCGCATTTATACCAACATTCTTTTATAAATTTCCTCACCAAGTGGCCCTTGCATGGGCCAGATAAGCTTTTATCCTTGGACCTTTCTAGCGGGCAATCTTTACAATAAAAGAGGCCGTGCTGTTGAGGATCACGATTCATTGCGATACATTTTTCAAGAAACTTCTCCTCAACTAATCCTTCTGGCGTATAAGCAAATTCACCCCCGGTTTCACCAGCGCAGGCACAGGGTATGGCTAATGACATACAATCCCCGAAACAATTTGAACAACAATTTTCATCAGAAATACGAGCAAGAATGAACTTCACATATGCATTTCGATAAACTATGTTCCTTGGAATGTAGTAAAAGGTTGGCAGACAATCGTTGGTGATTCCATTTATCAAAGAAATAGTAACATTTTCTTCACCTCTGGTAATATCATCAAGATACTGTGGGTGCTTTAGTGGGTCAAGAGAGGAGTGGTGCTTCTGGAAAAGTACCATAGCACTTGAATTCGAAGATCCCACGCCTTTTTGTTCCTTGGTCTTCTTCTCCGTTGCACAATAAGGATTCCCAGTTGTTTTTGAACCTGTACTGCAGTGAATAGGATTCGATCCATTTAGAGAAACAAGTCCTGGAAATTGGGGAGGGACCTCAATAAGATTCTGAGATCTGACTGACCCATTCAAAAAGCTTGGTGGAATGAAGAAATTGTCTTCACGATCACCTCTACCATGCAGGACAACTAGTGCATTGGATTTCTGTGATACATCTAGAGACGGGGTTACAGTAATGGATCCTGCATGTTCTTCATCAGTAGAATGAGTGCCCTCTGCCAAGAAGCATTCACAAATATCTTTCATCAAGTTGCTCAGAGAGAAACCAGGTTCAATAATTTTGAATGATTTAAGATATCTTTCCTCCACTGATTTCAAAACTGCACTTAAACTTGGAATATGATAATCAGATTGCCGAGCAGAATTACAGATCAGGGAAATTTTCACCTCTCCATTGAGAGAGGAAGCAATATCAAATTGCAATGAATCACCATCATCTTCATTCTCTGTATCCAGATGTTTAGATTCCAGGAGATTCAAACCATTTCCTTCAATATTTGAACAATATCTATTTGAGTGACCATCTTCACCTAACAGAGTGGAAGGAGCTAAGCAGAAAGTAAGGGTCAGAAATGCATCAATAATGATCGATACACAATAGTCTGTCAGATACAAGATGAGAGGGGCAGGCTATATACAGACTTCTACAGGCATTATAAAAAATAAAAAAATAAAAACCAATGGAGAAAAACTAGAAAGAGGAAATCATGGCCACATAGTGTTTTCTCCAATAAACAAAGAATCGAATAAAAAAAAAAAAAACAAAATCAAATTTATAGAATCCAGTGCCAATCCCAATGTCGATCTCGACTTTGTATAAATATTGGAAAAACTCAAACATGGGATTCATGTAGCCGACTCAAATAATTGGGAAAAGGCTTGGTGGTGGTTGTTGCAAGGAGAACAAAAAAAAAAATGCTCACTTACAAACAAATGGTCAGCTATTAAGATAGGGGAAAACCTGGAGGAACAATGGCAAGAGGAACCTCGAACTGTGGCAGGTCAGGGATGAATTCTTCACTTTTTTGAATAATATCATTATTATGATATTTATCAAGCACATTCTCTTTTGGAGCAAGACCACCACCTGGCAAAACTTTTGGCTTTTTATAGTAAATATTGGGATTGCCTCTATCATCAATTAATCTTTTTTCCCTTCGAACAATTTGAAGTGAAACAGGTGCCTCTTCATTGTCCTTCAGATGTGCCTGAGGTAAAAGAGGATCAGATTCAGCTACTCTATTGTTGGAGAACAGTTGAGATGGCTTAGTTTGTCCTGGTACGAAACAAGATTGAGGAGAACTGGGCTTCTTTCCTTTGCCTATACAATGTTCCAGGGGTGAAATGGTCTTGGCTTTGGGGTTTTTGTCCACAAGCCCGAAATGGGTGGACTCAGCCACTTTCTGCTTACAACAGGTTTGAGACACTTTATTGTCTTCCTGATTCAGCATTCTTCTCAAGGGAATTCCATTGAAACCTGGGTTGGCGTCACCAGAAGAGGTGGAAGACTGATCTGGTTGGCTTCTCGATCCAGATGTTTTTGGTGGTGCTTCCCATTCTCCAGGCTCATCTTGGAACAAATATTCTAGATTCCTTTCCTCTCTCTGTACAGAAAAGGAAAGCAAAAAAGAAACAATTTGCCAACAGAAATGAGAGAGAATGAAGTATGCCAGTAGTTTACACATACAAAAAAGTGCAAAAGGTAGACAGTCTAAGGTCATTACCATAGATCACTTCCACTGCTGGTGGGTAAACGGGAGCAATTGAAAATAAAAATAAAAAAAACTTCGACTATAAAAATCTGAAAATAAGCACTCTGCAGTAATTAAAAACAACTCAACAAGTAAACTATAACAAGAATGCATACTTTGGAGTCCTCATCGTCAAAAATAGCATCTATGAGAACTCTGTAGTGATCATCTTCAATAAGTTCCCAATTATTGTCATACAAATCCACAAGATTCTTCAGCACTGGTTTTACAATTTCTTCTAGGATACCAATCTCCTTCATCGCCTTCAAGGCCTTTGCAACTCTCGAATTTGCTGCCATCACTGATATGTGAAGTCTTTAAAACTACCCGATGTGACACAACTACAGCACCTTGCATTCACATACTCCAACTCTGTACATATTCTTCCACAGAATTGAAATCGTCAAGGAAAGAGCTATCCACAAATGAATTAGTTCACAGGAAAATAATAATAATACACTGTTTCTAACAGAGTGAAATATATCTAGAGAACTGAAGGATTCACATAAACAAATTCACCCACAAAAGTAAACAGTGCAGAAGAAAAAACTTCATGCATATCTGATCCATAACTGAAGGAAAATAATGGCCCAAACCATAAGTTCTAAAAAGGTAAACCAAAACAATGGACCATCATGAGCCAATTAATAAGAGGTCATATGACCATTTTATGAAAATGGACCATTATATTGAGTTTTTTGTAGCATCGGAAGGAGCAAAACCCCATGTTAATAAAAGAAATTTATTAAAGTAAATGAAGACATGAGCATGAACAATATAAGAAAGGAAATAAGGAATAAGCAGTATTATGTTTAATGAAGTCCCAAAGCTGGAAATATACATAATTCAGCATACACTTGATTTAAATCCTAACTTATTCCAAAGAAAAGTGTAAAAGTTAATGCAACATTTCATTTCCATCGGACATCATCAATAAAATTGACTGTGTTTGAAATTAAAATATCCACTAAAATGCAAATAACGCAACGGAGAGGGAAAAAAAAAGGTCAAGAAATAGAAATAGACATGGCACAGATACAAATATGTGTATTATATTAGACAAATATGAAGCTTCACTCAACCATCTACACTTCATGTTGACATTTGCATAATTGGAAAATGAAGTTCAACAAACTCTGTTTGCATAGATTATGTATATTATTACTGTGACAGCTTTCATATACTTATCTTAACAAGTACTTTTCTTTTCTACATTTAAAGCATCCATACATGTTTACATCTTTAGGCCATATATACGATATACAATTTTCTTTAAAAAGAAAAGAAATCCAGAAACACCATGTAAGGCATGTCCAACACATACCCATAAGAGTCAAAAGAGTGTTCTCTGACATGTGTTCCCTACTATTGACACTCCAAATGGTTGTTCAGCGCTCTTTAGCCATTATGAAAATGCCAAAAGAGAAAAAGCTAATATTTTAAAGTAAACCTCATGTTTTAATAAAGATTCAACATAGTTGAAGTAATAAGACTAACCAGTCATTTGGACATTCCACTAACATTGAAGCAATAAATTGTCTTTCATGAGGCAATATATCGTATTCCCTTATCAAAACACATGCTGGGCTCAAATATCATGAAAATGATCATATTATGTAATTTACTATCACTGTACTTACCATTTTTTTTTTCTTTAAATAAAATCTTGGTGCATTAAAGGTCTATCCTACACGTTTCTAAGAGAGCAAGAATAACCTTCTTTTTGACACATTGTCCAACAAAAGTATCACTATTACATAAACAGAAACTCCAAATAGTTGCTCAATACTCTTTAGCCATCGTGAAAATGTCTATTTCAAAGTTAACGCCTGAATGAAATGCTAAAGAGAGAGGGAGAGGGAGAGAGAGAGGATCATTTTGAGATGTGAGAGGGAAGACAGCGTTGGACTCGAGACTATAATTTGTATTGCTTCTAGCTCAGTCAAGACTAGTTCGTCTGAGCATGCCGGCTAATCCACCTATTCACTCTGGCTAGAAATTCCAGCAATATGAACTAGTAGTTTCTACTTCTGCCTCCTGCTCCTACGGCTCCTCTAGAAGAGCAACTCTATCACTTCTTTGAGAAGGGGAGCTGCGTTTTAATAAAGATTTTGAGTGTTTTAACTAATAAACAATCAGAGGCATTTGTGAATTCCACAAAAATTAAGGCAATTCATTAAACCAAACTGTTGAGATGGGAAAAAACAAAAAAGAAGTAGAAGTAAAAGAAGAATGTTAATCCTACCAAAACACAGTATGACAATTTCATCTTCTAATGAACTCATTGACCTTCCTTTAGACAATATAAGAATTTTTTTTACAGAAATTTCAACCAAATATATGCATAAACTTAAAACAAAAAAGAGGAAAGTAGGACACCCAATTTCAGATTTGCTTTTACAGAATGCATGCAGAACCCCTCTTACAATGCTCGCAACAAGCAGGAAAAAAAAAAAGTTCATTGTATTGTAGAAGTACTAAAAATCACACACGGTGTAAAGTATAAATGCATAATGCACAACTCTAAACCACAGTTGTCTAACAAGGAAAGAAAAAAAATACATAGTACAATATATACACACATACATACATACATACATATATATATATATAGACACACACAAACACACAGTAAATTTGTCCAAAGCTAACATGTTATACATTCGCATATGTATATATACATACAACAAACGAAAAAGAAAAGAAAAAACGGAACAGGGCAAGCTGATAGTACAAAAGACGAAGAAACGAAAGAAGAAGGTGGCAACGCCCTTTGATTTAACGGCATTTGTTGAGGTTTGAGTTGCAGAGATTTCGATGAACTTGTATTATTGTATTACAATACACAAAATCACAAGTAATATTAGCAATATAAAAATCACAACAGGAGCAACTAAACCCTCGTAGTGTTAGACGCAAAAGGCTATATTCAACAAATATATGGAATGAAAATTTTACATATGAAAAATGGAATTTATAAGAAATTAAGATGAAAACTACTAACTACAAATGGAAAAGATCCAAAACCCTAAAGTGCAATAGGGTTTTGTATCAAGATTTTGATGATTCAGTTAGAAATGTTAGCTTACCTCCTTAAACAACATTGATCTTTCTTTCCACTCAAGAAAATATTTGTAACAAGGGTTTAAGGTTCATAATTCAAGTCTATATATATATATATATATATATATAAAATAAATTATGAGATAAATTTAAAAGTGAAGTGTAATAGTATTTCAAGTCCAATACGTTTACATGTGAAAAGAGCTTTTTTTTAATGAAAAGGTTTTATTAATATATTGCTTGATATGGGCCTTAGGTCGTGGGCCTTGTACCAATAATGGACATCAACATAAGCTTCTTGGTAGGCTCAATATTATTTGCTCAAGTAAAAGTATTCGGTCTGTAATTTAATTGTATTTGGAATAAAGAAAAGGTTAGATAAGAAAGGAAAAAATGGAGTACTTTTAAAAGTTTTCTCTTTTTCTGGTTTAAAAAAATTGAAAAAAAATAATAGTTTAATTTGGTTGGGAGAAGAAAGTGGGTGAGTTCAAAAAAAATTATTTCTATTTTGTCCTTGAAAGTACACTCTATAACAAGAGTAGATCTTTCTAAATTATTTAAACAAATTTTCTTGGGAGTAAAATTTGAACCTTACATTGTTCCATGCAGTTACTCATTTATTTTTTGTTTCATTCGTGAGTTTTTTTTTTTTTTTCATTTTTTGTACTTTGTATAATTTTGATTGAATCATAACCTCTTTTTGTTTTAAATTTACGAGTGCTTGTCCAAAATGGGGTATCGATGGACACCTTGTGCATCCGAGAGCCGAAAACCCAAAGAATGCCAGAAAACTCAAAGAATGCCAGAGGTACGTACTCATTTCCTTGCTTAATCTCCCTTCTTACTAGGGCAATTTTACTTTCAATATTATATTTTTTTTACTTAAATCCAAACCGTTGTCATAATTATTAATTACAAATTTCGGGATGTAGACATTTATGTTGACTTCAACATTATTACAATAGAAGTAAAAATTCGGTAGCAGGAAATAATACACTTGTTGAATACACGAATATGACATGAACACGTGTCGAATACGACTGAAGTATTTGTGAATAGAGAATATATTATTTTGTAGTTAGACACGGTTAGGATAACGCATGGATAAGTTTTGAACACTTTCATAATGTGATGGGGTGATTTTATAATATATATATATATATATATATATATATATATATATATATAATTCAATGCAATCAAAATATATTATGGATTAATTAGAAAATTTATATAAAATAAGAAATAAAAATAATATACATCTTGCTCTAAACTCCAATTTATTAATTTATTTATGATTATGTATCCCATATTGTATGGATTCTAGGAAAAAAAAAAAATTAAAAAAAGGAGTAATAAGGCGCATCATAAAAGATGCTTGGAATAGAACTAGATTTTTGTGAATTTCAATTCCATATTAATAAAATGCAAATTACACAATGGATGGTGAATGTAACAAGCCCGACCCTTGTCATCATATCTGTCCTTTTAAGTCCAACACACATTCGGATGGATGAAACTCGAAATAAGACTATTAAGACCTAGTGGGTGTTTAGCATGATACCAAATTAAGAATTTGACCAATTTGGATACTAATTATAACCAACTGAACATTTATTATGGACCCAAAATTTTAAACTATAAGATAATGGTGCATCCCATTCGGATTTGACGTTGGACAAGACCCTTCTAATACCGAACCATAGAAATCAACAATTATATTTCTCAGGATGATCAAAATGTGCATTGTGTTTGGCATTTCATTAAATATCAAAAACATAATCAGTTAAAAACAAATAATTTATAATTTTAGAAACCATGTAATAAAATTAATTATGATCAAATTAATTTCATCGCAAAATTATACTATTAGATGTTACCTTCATATGTATAAAACAAATAATTTGTAGTGTTAGAAACCATGTAACGAGATTTTGTCACCCGTGATCAAAATGGGGTTCATGTTAAATTTGCATTGATGATTTCATTAAAATTTCAGTTGTCAAATTATGAGTTACAAAAACTTATTGACCAAGTATAAATTCAACGGATGTTACGAACATAAATGAAATGTAACTCATGTAATTAAGGACAAACATTAACGACATTTAGTTCTATAAAAGCTTCAACTTCCATTCCCATTTAGACCTCAAAACTGTGATAAAAATGACCATAGCAAAGCAATTGTGCAAAACTCAGACCCTCCTACAAATACTGGTCCTAGTTTATGCCACAATACTTGTCTCATCTACAAAGCTTGAAGACAATGTAGTTTTACCCCCAAAATCACCACAATACAGTGCATATGTGAAGGGTTGTCTTAATATTTTGACAATAAAATGCGCTCGACAGGTCATTGACAGCATTTTCGACGAAGCTCCTGTGGATGGTGATTGCTGCTGCAAGGTCCAACAAACGAGAAGCAAATGTCTGAAAGCAGTGTCACGGACCGGTGGTCAGATAGAGAAGAAGTTCAAACCCAATGTACATAATGCACAGTTTATCGATCTAAAGAGTGATCAAATACTTGATATGTGTCAAACACTACAACGTCATTGTATTGTGTAAAATGCATTAATCTGCAAAAGTGTTGCTTCCAAAAAATGTTCCAAGTTCATACTTATTTATTTGGCACCCATAGCAATAAACATGTCACATATTTGATTTCAGTGTGTGTCAGTGTGTGTAGTTTGTTTTAATGTCTGTGCACCAAAATTGCCTCAATGTTTGCAGATACTTGTGCTAGATAAATGAGCTATATTACAACATATAAATATGGTTTTTTCAAGAATATAATATTATTTAATGCCTTTTTTCAACCTGTATCTCTAGCAATTAAGTACAAGGACAGAGTTTTCTACTACCTATGAAATAAGCTGGACTTCAGAGAGATGATGAAGGCTTATATATACAGATTTTACAATATGATTCACTTCCTATATAACTAAAACTCGATTATTTAAAAACAAAAATAAAACACAATTATTCATCTTATATAAATTCCAGGGTTAATATATCCTGGCACAAAAAGGGTCCTGCAAAATTGTAGAAGAAATGCTTTCGTGTTGCAAAGCCGATCAAATCCAAGATTGTATAGGATACTTGCATTTGAAGGAGTTCATGCCATTTATATGAGCAAAGATATTTGAGGAAAAGTCATCTTCTTCTTTCACAACTACCTGCAAGAATGGCAGAATGTAGAAGAAATTTGAGTATTTTATTGTCGTTCAAAAGATGTTCGACTATATGCAACAAGTTATCATAGTTCATATACGAAACGAGTCTTACATCTTCATCTGTGTCCTCTTCTTGGTTGCTACAAGTGGTCCTAGGTGTGTCCCCAAATTCATCATTCTTTGCAAACCTTCCTCTCACTCGAGGTCTGCTGTCTGCAAGCGTTTTGCGGCATGCATACTGCTCATATATATTAGATTTCAATTTTTAGAAAGCGATTCAATGTGTGAACCAATAAATTTTACTACTAACATATATATGTCCACATATATGTATGCATGTGCTTGCATTGATAAATACAGATAGTTGTAGGAGGTATGAACATGAAAGAACATTGGAACATCATAGCTCCAAGCAGACTTAATTGCTATTGTGTAAATAATGTATATGCTAGTCAATATAGAGTTGTTTCTGCATACATACATGCATGTGATGTGTGTGTTTGTGTGTGTGTGTGTGTGCGTGTGGAGTGAGAGGGAGAGAGCGACCTTGATTTTCTTGCTGAAATTCCTCTCATTCCTTTTCTTCATGTATCTATGGATCTTCTCCTTCCTCTGTTCAACAGAGAGTTTAGCAACTTTGAATGTAGAATCTTCCATACTTGAGATCTCTGATGCCAAAGGAGTAGAACTCCCACCACCACTCGCATGATGACTCTCGTTGGCAAGTGCCTTTTGAAAGAGGGATGATCAATACACACAATCAAAGAAATAATTTATATTAGAATTCTGTTTAATAAAATACAAAAGAATTCAATTCAATTTTTTTTATATATAAAAAAAACTATCATATAAATGTTCACCAAGCCTTTTATACACAACACAGAACTTGAAGGACCTGAACAAAATTCATATTTCAATTTTGAAAACAATGAACTGGACAATTTAGTTTAGTACCATGTAGGACTAATAACTGCATTATTCTACCAAAACACACAAACACACACACACACACTAGTACCTGTAGCTCAGTAGAGCTAATCCCAGACCAGAAAATCCCACTAGTATCTCCCTGAAATTCCAATTCTTGAGGCTGCAGCTCTGTACTCATAGGCATACCCCCAACTAAAATCCCAGAATATTCAGTTGATAACGCGGCATTTTGATTGCCGGGCAGGTATGGTCCAATTGTTTGATCAAGAAAAGAGCAAGAAGGCGAGGAAGTGTTCAAGCGCGCATAAGAAGGCATCGGAGATATGCATTCCTCTTCATAAACAGCAGATAGTGGTGGTGGTGGTGGTGGTGGTGGCCCTATGAGAGGGACAATAGGTTCAGGAGGGAACTGTGAGAGTCCATCCATAACAACATCATCATTTATTACTGGAATTTGAGATTGCAAGGAAGAGAGATCAAGCTGGTCTTGTTGTGCAGTGAGGAAGGGAGAGAAGTCTATAGAAGCAGAAATGTCATTTTCTATATTTTCCGGGGAGTCGAAGATTAAAGAGAGATTGTTGCAGGTGTTGTCATTAGTGGTGGTAATAGGGGTGGTGGTGGTGGTATTAGTACTTCTAGTGAATTGGTTTGTGTTTGGAGGAAAGGAAAAATTTGGGGTGTAGGATGAGTTCTCTTCATGGCAATAATTAGAAGTAGAAGCAACTTCAGAGTCTTGTAGTGCTTCTGAGAATAATTCAGGATCACAAAACTCGAAAAATTGAGCACCAAACGGGCTCGAAATCTCTTGCTGCAAAACAAAAGATCAATGGTTAGTAAGATTGCATGTGCCCTCTTCTTTTAGCAAATTTGTAGCATGTATGGTTTTCTGAAATATTAGTAATGTATCCAATTCTTGGATATTGACCACCTCTATATGTCTTGTTGAATTAATACAACAAATTTATTATTTTCAATAACTAATTTTGAACATGTCTTCACTAAGAAAGCTACATTTTACATGTCTCAAAAGTATGCTACATGCATGACACTCAAATATATATAATTAAGACTCCTCTCTGTATACAATATATCTCTATATATATGAATGAAAACAAAATATATAGACTTTTGGAAAAAAATAAACAAAATATATAAAGTAATAGAAATGAATTCTCTGGAAATTCTCCAGAAAATATATAAAAAGAGCATGCAAACATGTTTGCAAACCAAATAATTAAATTTGTAAACAAAATGAAATGAAGATGCAAGAACATATATATATATATATATATATATATATATATATATATATATATATATATATATATCTCTTAATTTTTCTATTTTGAAAATGCATGAATTTGATTGATATATAAGAACTAATTTTAGAGTGGGGATGAGATTAATTACAATCTGAAGTTGTTCGGGTGGATGAACCATGTCCTGCAACATTGTTTTTGCTTCGAAAACAATTAGCGAGCTTAAATAGCTTAATTTGTAAATGTCAACACTTTCTCCTCCTAGATAGCTTCAAATGCATGACTGAAACCAATGGAGGAGAAAAACCCATCATCTTCAATAACAAAGAAAACACTTTTAGAGAGAGAAAGTGTGTTTTAGAGAGAGAAATTTTGCTTTTAAGGAATGGGGAGGGGGGGAAGACGTTAGCTGGAAATTTGGTCTAAAGAAAGAGTTAGTTATATAGAAAGGGAATGATATGTCAAAACGTCGCCGTTTGCTTGAAAGACTTGGGGCAAACAGACCCGAGGGTGTCGCTGGACCATTCATTGACTCCCTCTGCCTGCGTGGCAACACTCACTCACCCACTAGGGTGCTGCCATGTGTACCTCAACTTGATGACGTGGCATTTGTTAACTATATCCATTGCCAGGAAATCTTTGAAATTTGGAACTGTACAACAAATTATCTGAAACTAATTATACTCCTGATTTTTTTATTTTTTAGTTATTAGTTATACAACTTATAAATAACCCATATGATTGGGAAAAACAATAATAAAAATAATTTTAATTTCTTAAAGCTGTACTTAGTGCTGGACAATGTCATTTGTATTCACAGCCCATTTATGTGGTCAACAACTCAATATATATACCAATAAAAGGTAGTTGGTCTCTTATCCTCAAAATATTTTGATTATGTGCGCGTATGTTTCAACTTTCAGAAAAAAAAATTACTCCTAAGCAAATTATATCAAGTGATGCTTTATGAAAGAGCAAAGTAGGTTCGTCATCGAAATTAAGTTATTCAAAAAAACAAGAATATAAGAAAATGACTGTATCTTGATGATTGTTCCAGTTACAAAACCTTGTAGCAATATGCTTTTTAGATAATTTCCCCGCATAAGTAGCTTATATATATATATATATATATATATATATATATATACTGTGTTTTGATGAAACAATGGAAGTTGGAAGAATTCATTGTGTACCCTACCAAGAAAAAAGAGGTAAGAAAAAGAAGAAGAATCCATGGGCCCTCCATGTGCATTGCCATGGTACTATTGTACTAGTAATTAACAAAAATTGTACTAAATAATTTAGATAATGTTCATACTAGTGACCTAGTTGGTACACTACCACTTTCCAAATGAGTGTGCCCATGTTCAAATCTTATCCTTCTAAATTTATTTTTAAAAAAATTAAAAATAAATAAATTGAGTACTGTCCACAATAAATCTCCTTAATTTGACCTGAAAATTCAAACCTGTCATTTACAGCCACTTCCTACCTATATATATAAATAACATACAAAATGGGAATGTAATTTAATTCTTTTGTCTTGACCATGCAGGTCACCAAATAATAGCAGAAGTCATAACCATATGAATTAATGCTGCTAAAGGTACATAAAATAGCCACCACATACATTTATTCACACCTGTTTGACATGAATCATCACAATCCTTCTTTGATTCCCACACTGTTTCTCAGTTACTTGATTTTGAATTACCCTTTGCATATAAGCAGAAGAACAAAAACTAGGTAGTCTAATGAATACAATAACTGAAGCATATTCATATCATATATAGTATATACAATCAATAATACAAGAACAAGAAAAACAGGCCACCATGACAAAGAAAACAATTACAAAACAAAAGGTGTAGGAAAGATCAGAACCCTTCCAACATGTAACCTCTACGAGGTAAACGTCGAATATATGCAATCACTCACAAAGTATACATATCATTTAAACTCAGGTGTTTTTACACCTGTGAGAGTCAAACTCAAGATGTCCAAGTTTACATAAGATGAATATTTCAAAATTAATAATAAAAAAAATTATCCCAATGTGAATGAGAGTGGATTTGAGTAGGTAGTAGCAGTTGGTGGGTCTGCAACACCAAATGGAAAATGCTTCTTAAGTAGGAGTATATCCAAAAAGTTGCATTGAGTCAATCTAGGCCACATTGCTGCTTCGAAGTTGACTCAACAAAGTGTTCTACGTTTGATTGATTGAAAACCAACAAACTTATTGTGTCCACATCCATCAATATGTATGTGTTCTATAATTGTGCCTGCATCTTTGGAGGTCCTATCATGGAGGGCGACTTTATGTATACACTTCAGAGAATCAAAACAGTGTCTGTCTTAGGGCTGTATAATTGGCTCATGAGGTGAATAACAGTTGGAATCCATATCATATACTAGCACAAATCTGGAAGTGAATGATTAGTTCTTCACCCACTTGTGAACTATAGTCTTACTCATGGACCTACCATATGGTTCAAACACATGAGCCTGACAGGTCTTTTGTGACACATTCCAGTCTCAAGTCATATCCAATCAATTATTATCAAAATTTGAGAATATTCCACACACATATATGGTTTCAATAATGTATATTACATGATTCTGTATATGGCCTACATTCACAATGAAAATCGGTGAAGAGATTTCATTTCACTATGTGAAGAAAACAGGAGACTACAAGTTCTCAAGCACCCAACCCTTTAGCTTTCTCTCACTCTCTATTTCGGGTATCAGTTCTCTCATATTCAAGCCACAAACCCTAGAATCCTTTTATACTGGGTTATAATAGTGACTAGAACCTGAGTTCACAACTAGCAAGACAAACCAAGTAAAAGAAAAGTTCTCATCATCCTGTCAAAACTAGGTCATTATGACCCGGGCCAAAACAAAATTCGAGCCACAACTTGTGTTAAAAAACTTGGAGATAATCAAAAACTAACAAAGCATGAGAGCATATACAGCATGGATCACAAAAAAGGTGGAACAAAGCTCAAGCCCAAAAGAGGCTCCTTTGGTTTTAAATTAAAGTTGGGATAGAAGCAATACCAACCACATTAGGCACCTTTTAAAGGAAACCTGTCAACTATGTTTGTTTGCATAAAATCAAAGCCTATCTTCTAGCTGGTTACTTGTTAAAACTCCTTCTGGACATGGAATCAAAGTCTATCTTCCAGATGGCCAAGCAACGCTTGCTCCAATATCTCCAACTGCTCTCAAACATTAAAAAGGCCTAGGCAAAGGTTCATGCCATACTATTGGCATTGCAGTACTTGCTTCCCAATACTTACCTTCATATATGGGTTCATACTCAAAATGGTTTCTTGTGCTACAATAAGATTAGGCATCCTGGGGCTCAGTAGGATAACATCACTCGCACCCTATATATATGCAGTGTATACTTGATATCTCAACACCAAATTGCTATGAAACAAGAAATAATAAATAAAAACAAAATGAAACACTTAACAAATCAACGAACCATGTAGTCACGAAACATAAACTAAAATTAAATCTAATATTTCTCTTACACCCATAATTCAAAGCAAATAATTGATCCTTAAAAGTTCTTCCGCCAAAAGATTTTATGGTTTCAGCCACTCTAGATCTGCCATTACAACAGGATCTGCAGAATTGGCCTGACAAATGGTCTTCTAATCCATCAAACATCCAACATTCCACATTATTAAAAAGAATCTATCAAACAAAACAAACCTAAGAACTATTGTGGCTCCTTTTTGAACAAAGAATAAGAAAAGAAAAGAAAAGAAAAGAAAAGAAAAAAAAAATTGAGAAAAAGAAAAGCATTAAAAAGAAAGTTTAAAAAAGCATGGGTTGCTTGCTTACAAGAAATAGATTGAATTTATCTAGCAAATCATAATCCCCTAGAGTTCCATTTGGATTACAAAAGGGGATTAACAATCAGGCAATTGTGCTCTTACTAGACAAAAATGCAATTTATCTCACTAAATGCAACAACAAAGCATAGCATGCTTTACACAGAAAACTAATTCCATTAGTTTTTATGGAAATTTTATGAATGGGTGTGCGATCAAGTTAATTAATTTGGGTAACAGAGTGTTGTAATGATGATCAAAACAAGGTATCATATGACATGAGAGCTAGCATAAAGCACACATTTGCCCAATGGCCACCCATAAACCATAGAACCCACTACCTCCATGACGTAATGCACAATGTTCATAACATCATATATGGACACAATAATTGGAATAAAGAAATAATGTGCCAGAAAGTTACAGTGGCTGATGGAATCACAAGTGTTGTTGAAGAGAAGGACACTCATTGATTTGTGGTGCTTGAGAAGTACCAGCCTCATTGCAAACCTATGACAAGCAAACAATGTTCTAAATGAACACTATAACTAAAACCAATAAACATTAAACTCATTAAAATAAACCTATAAAAATTATAACAAACACCAACAACAGATATACTTTTACCAGTTGGGTCCCCGTAGGCTCAGGAGAAGGATGAGGTGCAGTGGGAGCAACATGCTGTTTTACTTGATCCCTTCCTACAGTATGTAATAGCTCTTGCAATTGGGTAAACATTTGCATCATCATCTGCATCAGCTCCTTCACCTCACGTAACTCTTCATCATACTTATTGTAGCGTCTATATTAGAGCTCTCTCCTCTTCCTTTTTGTAGCACCTGTATTAGGCCTCTCTCTCTTCCTGATAATAGCAACGGTATTGGGCCTCTATCTCCTCTCTTGGCCTTCATACATTGTATCATCCCCCTTATCCTCAAAACTCCTAACTCCAACTGCATCACACAAAATCCTATTATCCAATTCCCCACGTTCTACATTTTAATTAGTAGCCCTGGAAGATATACTCACCCCATGGCGATACCAACTTGTGCAACTCTTAAAGAAATCCATCAACAATAATATCATCTAATGCATCTTGACAAGTCTTCCATATACAATTGCAACACTTTTTGCAAGATCTTTCCATTACGAGCTGCATTATCAAATGCAAAATCTAGGAAATTTACAACTCCTAGATATTCCCTGCTCACCCTATTTTTATCAAACACAAAAATGTGTATGGTAAACACATCACATTGTAGCCTGATAATTGAGAGGATGATCATTTATTGAGGTACCTTGATTTATGAATCCAACTCATATCCATATTCATCTCCTCCAA